GTTCCGACCATAGCGATATTACTCTAGATTAATAATCTTTTTTATTTTTTTGATTCCGATTGCTAAAAAGGTTGGAATCTTGGGTATCGTCACGTGCTAATTTTTTGAGACCCCCCCCCCCCACTTCATCAGCTGGTAATTTTTTGAATTTTCAACTTTTTTCATTTTTTTGTGTATTCTCATAATGTTAATAAATAAAAAAATTTATAGTAAAAATATTGATTGCCTTTTTTACGGGACTTTAAAAATTACCTGAAATTTCATGCTTCTAAACCAGAATACCCCTTTAAGTCAAACAAACGACTAGATTTTTCGACTTGATAGCAAGTTGTTTGATTAAGTCATAATCTTAGTCAAGATTAAGTCAATATTAAGACCAAAAAAGTCAAGATCTGAGGTAAAATCGTCTAGTCGAAAAATTGACAACCAAAGGAAATTAAGTCAAACCAAGTCAAAATTAAGATTTTTTTCGACCCGGAAAGTCAACTGAGTTAAACAAGGTTTATGAAATTAACGGAGCGATTCTATCGAAAAAAGACAACGTTTTCCGACAACGATATCTTTTAGACGAATCTACCAAATTAAACGGAGTTAACTGCATTTGATGCATTTTTTCAAGTGCAAAAAACAATTGTTTTCTAAAAACTCTCAGGTCAATAAACTCAAAACTAATAAAAATTTATGACAACTATACCTCTCGAATAAATTAACCGATTTGAATAAGATTTGTGGTATTTGAGCAGAATCATTCCTCCGCTTGTATTTACGTTTTATAATATTACTTTTATTGAAACAAAGCAAACCTTGTTTATTAAGAACGTATATATCTGATGACTACCTAAAATTTTGTGTACCTAGTCAATTCTATTTTTTTTGTGTATAAATTGTTTTTACCTTTAAGTATAACAGGTTGTTTTTTATCTTGTGTTAGTGATTTAGGGAAAATTAAGACGTAACTAAAATATTTTCAGGAGATAATAGCATATATGCACGCACTGTAAATACATCAGTATATTGATTTCGCTTTAAAAATTGTAAAAAAGGCTGTCGATAAAAAGTTCAAGATGATTTAAAACTAAACAAACGAAGAATTATTCGGTTATTCAATCAGTTTCAAATTCAGGTTAGTTAGGTTGACCTAAAGTTCAATTCAGTTTCAACATTTTGACCTAAGCTTCAAACCAGTCTCAACAGTTTCAATCAACCTTCAAATTTTTACCTCTGATGAAAACTCGATTCTTGAAATCCGGAATGAAAAACAATAATTTCTTTACTTGTGGAAAATTAATTTTTTTTTTATCGACAAAATTTAAAAGATTCTGACTCAGTAATCTTTTTGTTGATACCATTAATTTAAAATATAAAACTTGAAAATATAATTCGAAGATAAAATGTTTTTGGTATCGATTACACCTCGTAATTCACATGGCTTTAACCATTTATGTAAATGGAGTTAAAAATTTTTTTTACACATTAATTGAATGAAAATAACAATTCAAGGGATTTTATTCGATAAGAATGGACAGTAAATAATTTTTGTTTTACGTTAAAAATTACTTGGTAGTTTTACTATACCCATTATATAGATTATATAGAAACAACTATGCATCAAGATTGTTAAATGTAATGTATAAGAATAAGAGGGGAGTGAGATGCTGGTATGAGCGAAGACATCGGGAGAGAAGTGCCGCTCGCGGGCGAGAGTGGACGGACCACATGCCACCACTCCACTCTTAAATTACTCGTTCTTTCTCTTAAACTCTTTGCTGTTAGTTTGCGTTCTTACTTTACCTTTATGTTACTCCTGTGTAACTATTATTTACCGGGCGCCTTCCCACAGGCTGCCATCGTTTCGTTGCGTTGCTCGATCGCGGTCGCGCACGAGCAACGCCAGTGTCTTGCCAACGTGGCCAACACCACTTGTGTATCCTTCTTAAAACTTGTTTTACATTTTATTGTACTTTTAGATTCATTTTACTCTATAATAACTGCTACTCCACTGTTGGTTCTTTTTTTTTTTTTTTTTTTTTTTTTTTAATTCTTCATATTTAAACTTAAATTCTTCCTAATATTCTTGACGTCCCTATTTGAGCCTCAGTGATAAAAACGTAAAACTCCTCCATAAACTTGTTTATTTTCAGCAAATCAGCTGATAAAAATACAAAAACAATAATGAATGAAAAAAAATTAATAGAAAAAAAAAAAGAAGAAATACTATCTGGAAACTATTTGAATATTCACTTATAACGTGAATAAATTGACTTGTGTTGTGGAATGTGGTATTAGTTAGGACTATCTGTCCCCTGAGGGTGGGTCCACGACGTAGAGAGAAGCGAAGAAGGAGTAGTATAGAGAAAACGATCGCTCTGATGTTCTTGCTCCCAGGCCAAGTAAACAGTGCTGTTGTACCTTTATCCGCGGCAACATTGTTATCATTTTAATTCTACAGTACTTATTGTTTCTTATAGAAAATTTTTATTAGTGAAAATTTATTAAAACTTATTCATAGTTTTTGTTAACTTTTAAATAATATATTCTAAGAAACATGTAAACTATAAAAAAATATTCATGACATATATAATGTAATATATGGTTGAATCTTACGCCATTGCTTTTATTGAATACTTAAAGGGGATATCAATGTTATTAAATACTACGGAGGTTTAATTCTGCAACAAATCAACTATGGTTTTCTCTAACATTCGATCGCTATGTGGAATCGGATAAATTTTTCTTATTAAATAATGATATCACTAATTCTCCTTTTATTCTATACAATTTTGAATAATCATTTCATGACATCAAATGGTTGTTAGATGTTAAAAATAATTCGAGTATAATAAGTAAATAAAAAAAATATAAAATAATCAGGAAGTATTAAGAAGATAGTGTGAGAAAGGTCGTGAATACCAGAAGATCGCAAAAGAAAGGGCGAGAATCAACGTCGTTATGATCGCTGGGAGGGAGAGCGCAAGGGAGAAAGTCGTTTTGTCCGTGAAGCAACGAACGTGCTTTGGAGTCTCTTTTTTAACTTTTTTATTTTTTTTTTAAATAAATTTTACTCCTCCACAAGTCGTCGTAACAGTGTCGTATAAGAATCCAATTGTTGTTTACGCTCCAGTGAGAGTTATTCAATATGCAAATGATATGAATAATTAGCTCAGCTTTATTACTTAAATGTTTTTAACTTCGATTCAATATACAAGTATTTTTAAATGATGAAAAAAGTTGACTAAAAATAAAAAAACATATTTTGTAAAAACTTAAATTGTAAACAATTGTAAAATTTGCATGATAAATTTGTTGACCCTTTACGAAGATACAACTGGCCACCCGCAGCAGCAGCAGCAGCAGCAGCAGCAGCAGCAGCAGCAGCAGCAGCAGCAGCAGCAACAACGAAGACTGGAAGACCTCGAACCGGTACAAGTTGAGCAGACGAGAAATAGAAGAAGAAAGAGAAGGAAACTGCGAGTGTATCATGAGAGTAAAAGTCTCCATCATGCAAGAGTTACTAATACTTATATTTGAAAATTTTCAAATATAGTATCTAAAAAAAATTTTTTTAAGTATCTATTAAATACTTAAAAGCCGATGAGGTCGATCTCATTTGAAAATTTGAGGAGGCTCGTAAGCCGTAAGAAGGATCGTGATGAGCCATCCTTTAAGCGCAGCGAATCCTTCAAAAGAATTTCAATACGTAAAAGTTATTTGGATCGTGGTAAGAGACGTAATAAACTACAAAAAGTCAATAATGAAATTTCAAAGAATAACAATAACGCTGTAGTCGAACAAAATGATTCTCGAGAAATTATTAAAGAAATCACTACGTCGAAATGTAATCAAAATACTGTACAAACAAAAATTAAAAAGACTGAAGGTACAATTGGTTATAATGAATGGTTAAATGACATCAATGGGAGTCAAGAGAAATGGAAACAAGAATCAGACATTCCTGTTCAGCGTGTTTCAAAACCGAAAATTCCGAAACCTCCAAGAAAATCAAAACCAACTAAAACTCCTGATTCCATAACGAAAGAACTGAGTATTCTACGACTTGAAAGTTCTCCGGTGTTCATGAGATGTTCCCGAATCAATTCCGTCGAGTCAACATGTATCGAGAATATATCAGAATCTATCGACGACGATCAATTAACTCCAGACCTTTCATTGTCTATGACAACAGGTGAAGGACCACCTAGCATCAGTGTCAGTCTTGGTCGTGTGTGGTTAGATTCCGTACCAGTACCTTTCCCATCTCATGGATTATCATCAACCACTTCTGTTGTTCATCATTCGTTAGACAGTGCATTAAAAGAACGGAAACAACCAGGTCAGCATCAAGTTGCCCGGACAGTGTCTGCACCAGAAAAAAGTCGCGTAGTAATTTCGAAAGATTGTTCATCAGTTGATGAGATTCCTTTATCTTTTTTAAATGATGCTGAATCGAAATGTAAAAAAAATGGATTCTTTCGGAAAAAGTTATCAAAAACATCTCTCAGTATTACTAAAGAAGGCTATTTCAAACGAACGTCCACGTCTAAAAACTCAAGCATACATAGAAAAAAAGGTGATACTATTGTTATTAGTGGTGTTAATAAAAAAAATAATACTCCAATATCTAATAATCTGATGAATTTTGTAACCCCTGAAAAAAGAAGCTGTCGAAAAACACGTCGAGTGTGGCAAGAAATTAGATATTTTACTGTTGATGACAGTCCATCAACTTTGGAGGAAAAAAAAACAGATGATTGGTCATCCAATGTATCTGATGAATTTGATGATCAACAATTACTACTTTCTGGTGATTTTAATGAAAAACAAGAAATTTCAACTTCTATACATAGTTCATCTTCTTCAATGATGACCTCGTCATTCCTTTCATCATCATCATCCAAGTCATCTAGAGGTTATAAATGTTCAAGTAAACCAAAGATCAGTGATTTCAATGAGGATAAAATATTTTCTAAAGAATTAAGAGGAGTATTAGAACAGCGACCAATCTGGAAATCATCTAAATACATTGTAGCCTCGTCGAACTTCTTTGCAAGCAAACAATTTCTGAGTTATTTAGCCAAAGAATCTGAGCTTGAAGTGAAAATTAATCCACAAGAATCTGTTAAATGCAATGGAAGTTACTATCGTTGTTTATCGTCAAGTGAGAGTGAAACAGAACAAAAAAAACAATTGATTAGTAAACGAAAGATCCAAGTGAATGACAAATTTCATGTTTGTAAAAATGATCAAGAAACTAAACGGAATAATCATACAGTTAAACTTGAAAGATCAAAAATACCTAAACGACGCCCATTAAGACGAAAATCTCAATTAAAACGAGCTAATGGATCCGGTCAACCAGTTTATCTTATACGAAAATGTTCTTCATTGAGAAAACGATCCAGTAAGATTCAATTATTGACAATACTATTTAAAATATTATGCGTTTTTTGTACTAACGTTACGTTACTTCATGGGTATTGCGATTAACACCGATGCGAATCGATCTCGGTTATTATCCAAGTTACAAACCGTAAAGAATAGAGTACGAAGTGCAGCGAAGCTCGCTGCAACTTTTACTAACATGCTTCTTGTTTTCCATTTATTTCATTTATTTTTACACTTTTTTACCACTCTTGGAATGAGTTCGTTAATTTAAACCTGCACTACTTGAGCTCTTAATTCATTGAAATGGTCTTAGTTGCTGATCGATAATTAGTTTATTTAATGAAAGATTAATAAGATAATGATAATAAGCTGTAATTTGCTGTAGTGCATACTTATACCTCTTGTCACGAATCAAAAAATATATGTTGAATTAATCTTTTAAAAGTAATTACTTGAAAACGTTTCCTCAACGTTATTTATCTGTAACATCCGTTTTTTATTCAACAGTTAAACTTGTTAGCCTAAAATTTTCCGCTTTTCTAGAGCTCAATGAATTTAACATAGTCGTAACTTATAACAGCAGATTTTATTTATAGATAAAGCTACAAAATTTGTCGATTTTTTTTTAACTCAACAGATTGATTAAAACTAAAATTTTAGATGATCTAAATTCCGCGAAACTTTTGGATGTCACGATTTGTCGCTTTCAATCTCAATTTGTTAATATGTGAGAAAAACTGAGATAGAAAAACATAGAATCATTCTTTTGGAAACTATCAGAATAACTTACAACAAGTTCAAAACTTTGAGCTTCAATACAAACTTTATTATCAAAATTTTGGTTGATTACACTAATTTTCCGATTATTTTGAAATTTATAATTCTATATCAAGTATGAAATACTGAGCTACAAAGAGTGAAAAATATACTATTATGATTATGTATTATAATTATATCATTATGCAGTAATATACGCTTGAGATAATTCATTGTAAAAATTAATTCAACTACCGTAAAGTATAATTAAATGAGAAAAACGTAATCCTATCTTTCCTATGATTGATGAATACTAGTAATTTATTGAAATATAAAGTGTAAATGACAACGATAACAAAAAAGGGAACAATTTTTAATTTTTACTTTATTTGCAAAATTTTACTTTATTCATTATTGAAATTAATGATTTCATTAATTAAATAAGTACCAAAATCGAAGAAAGTGTCAGTAATGAGGTCCCCGCCACTAATGGGGTCTTTTACCCTATTCCAGTCAATTAAAATTCGTAATTTTTGTGTTCAAAAACTGACTCTTCTTGCCTGAGACTAATTATTTTGCAGCTACAAAAAATCTTGTTGCTGTAACAGGATTATTTTTGTTATTGCTACAAGATGTAGTTCTTTTAATGCTTCAGAGTAATCTTGTTGTTATAAATTTTCATTTTTATGGAAGAATCAAAACACTTAAAAGCTGAGTGTTTTTTTCATTGATTATTCAAACAGATATAGCTAACTAAAAATTTAATTGTTATTTATACTACGTGGTTAGTCAAAAATTATCGTGGATAAACATTGGAAATCAGTTATGTCTGAAATAATATTATTTATCAAGATTTTTTTGCACCAATCTCTTATAAATAAATCAGCACAATATAAATCGGATTTCAGATAAAAAAGAAGGACAAGTCTTTGGAAAAATTACCTTACTAGATATAATATACACATAATGTTTTTATAGATATCCTTGTTTGATACAAAAAAAAATTTTTTTTTTACAGGAGATATAACGCAAAAAGGTTATGAGAAAAAACGGACTCGTCTTCTACAACAATATGCCACAAAACAAATTGGTAAGTTAATTCAATTTTACTATCATTAGTTATCATACGTCCACGGAAAAAAAAAAACCCTTGAAAAATTACTTTTCAAACAGTGGTACAAGACTATAATGCAAAGCTATAAAACTTAGTGTTTCCTATATGACATTTTTATTAGAAATAATTTTGAATACATAGTAATTTTTACAGTTTTGAATGTGTTTTATCGCTAAATAAATGTTGAACCACAGAAATGTTCACTTATTTTACTTGAAACAGTAATATTTTCAGCTCATGGCCTGAAATATTAAACAATAATTTTTTAACTGTTTTTTTTTTCTTTTTTTTTTTCCGTGTGACAATCATAACATAATTTAGGTTAGGTTTTTAAAACGTAGTGTCACTAAAAAAAGAGAATAATTTTTTTTTGGTAAATAAAATGAATTAATTTTGAAGTTCTATTAAAATAAAGAAGCAACGTCCAATTGTTTTGCACGAAAATATAATATTTCCTGTTCAATTAATTGTAATAACTACTCTCGACATTTTTTTGAATGTTTCTAACCTGTTACTAACAAAGGTGATAGAACTGCTTTTTACTAAAAAACTAAAATGGGTTCGATTGCAATTATGATAATCAATTAATGAATGAACAAATAATACCAACAAAAAAATATTTCATAATACATAACTGTTGATGGCCTTGGTGATTTCTCAAAGAGATTGTCATAAATTTTCTTCGCATTGTATCTTTAATCTTTGGCGTTAGCCATGTTTGAGTCCTAATTCTCAAGAAGCGCATAATGATGGAATTAAACTTCAGTAAAGAGGCGAAAGTCAAGATTTCCACCAAGATGTGTTTTTTTTTGTATGCTCGGGTGAATACTTTTCCTTTTGTCGAAACGTAATGTAATATTATATTTCTTCACTATTCGTTTTTTTAGACGTTAAACATGTTATTTCAACAGTTAGTCTTTAAATCGTTATAAAAAACAAAATTAATTGTTTTTCTTTACTAAAGAAAATCAGCTAATAAAATACATCAAGCCAATTTGAAATACAATAATGTTTGTTTATATTTAAAAAAAAACAAAAAAAAAAACAAAAAAAAACGTACGACTTTGTTTTGATTTGTTTTTATGTCACCTTAGACTAGAAATTAAATCGTCCGTGACAATTCCGTCTTATATAATCTGCGTAATAAAAAAGTCGTTTTTTTTTTTTTTAAATACATAATACATATTATGTGCTATACACTAAAAACCTCATAAACATAATTCGTTACGATTGGGTGACTTCAGGTCATCTAAGGTAACTACAACCTTTAAAACGCAAGTTTAGTTTTGAATTGTTAAGCATTTTATATACGAGTATAAATATTATCATATATACTTTATTAACTTAAAATTACAATAATCAACTCTCAAAGGGGAAAAATAAATAAAACAGGTAGAAAATAATTATATAGCAAAGTTTGTTTAACTTCTAAGCTGGCCATATTAACTTCTTGAAGCATTAAATAAAATAGAAATATTTTATAAGGAAGAAAGGAAAAAAATACACCATACGCATGCCAAGAATAATCTTATATATTCAGCTTCAACTATTATATACCGCTAACTGTATATAGAAGAGCATACGAGTTACTTCCGCGTGCGATATTATGCCGCTCCCAGCACCATCTGCTATATTACTTGACACTTGAAAACTCTGATTTTGCACAACTCGAACTCCTAGCGCCGACGTTGGGTTCTATTTTTACAAGGCTTTATTTTACCAATCAATACACAAATTTATGTCTATAGGTTATAGATTATCGTACATCATTGCGAAAACCACACTATTCAGAATCAATCTAACAAACTAATATATACGTCTATTCGTGACTAATTATAAAGTCAAAGTATTTTTTGGAAAAAATAATTGAAGTGTTTTCTTATTTATTTTTTGCAATTGATTTTACAACGCTGAACTGTGAAGCTGCCTTCAAAAATCACTTTGATATTTTTTTTAATATAATTTATTTCCGGTACTTAACGAAGCTTTGTAAGCTTGAAGACTTATAAGATTTTGAAGAAGATTGGTTTGGTAATTTATAAATAATTAAAACAATTTTTTTTTTATTTTGAGAGTTTTTAAAATCTATCTAGCCAATTAATATCAAATTTTTAAAAATCTGAATTTAATCCAACTTGATTTTAATCGGTGTATTTATTCAAAAACCATCCAAAGTTTACACACACGCCTCACTTTATACTGTCGAAATAACGTCCTAAGACTTCAAAACTTTGATAACTACCAAAGATTTGAGTTTCTAAAATTAGACTCAAAACTAAAAGTTAAAAAAAAATTTATCAACAAGGCAAAATTCTTTAGTAGCAAAAACAAATTTATTACAAGTTGAAACAATTCAATTATTTTCTTGTAAAAAAAAATAATGAAAATAATTTAATGATTTAAAGTAAAAAATAATTTTTACTCTTAATATAAAGATATTTTTTGTTAATGTTGCAGAAGAAATTCAAACTCACTTTCTTATGATTGAGTCAAATGTAACCGAAAAAAATGAAACAAAAAAGAATAGTTTTTTTTTTTTAACTCTCAAAGATGTTCTTAATTTTTAAAAGAAGAAATGTGAGTACAGAGTGAAAGAATATCTTGTAATATAAAAATCATATTTTTAAAAATTATAACTAAATCTACAAACTTAAATTAAATTAATTAATTCACAGTCTTCATAAACGAAAAAAAGGCCATTCGACAGCCGAAATGGAAGTAGATTTCATGATGAATAAAATTAAAAACTACTAGGATTAAATACAAAAAAAAAATAAATAACGTTTAATAAAGAAAGAGAAGAATTATTGTACTTCAGTACTTTTCAGTCAGTTTTGTATAGACAAAACGACTGCAAAAGTAAAATTTCTTAAAAATGATCCTAAGATGAATTTTTTTTGCTTTAGAAAAAAATGTGAGCACATAAATTGAAGTTTAATGTCTCAGCTTTTAGATGCAATTTACAGGAATCGAATAACTCAAAGCGTTCAAAAGTTATTTGAGGGAGAAGTAGTGAAAGTATCAAATTTTCAAAATTTTTAAATGCTGTAATTTCTAAACTATTTGACTGATTAAGCTCATATTTGAACTTGACCTTCCTAGTAGTCGATAGAATAAGTATGTTGAGTTTCATTGAGATCCCTTAAGAATTGTTGACGCTATCGTCGTGACAAGCAAGCATATCGTATATATATATATATACATATATAAACTTTCGAACCATATGTATTTTCTGACTCAGTTCGTCGAGTTAGGTCGAAATATAGCAAAATTTATGGAAATTTACGTCATGAGGACAAATACAATAGTTAGATTTTTATAAAATCTACTAAAATAGAGTAAAATACTTTTTTATTTCAAAAGTAATAAAATTCAATTTGTTGATTGATGAATTTTTTATGAACACAAGTAGAATAGACTTGGCCCCGCATCTGAATAATTACCAAAATAATAAAAGAATATAGAATGAAATTTTTAGAAGCGTTTAAAGAATTCACAACTGCACACCCCGAATACTTATTTCAATTCTAAGTGCAAGAGTTTCATCAGTAATAAAAAAAAATTCTCCGAAGTATGTATTATGAATACAATGAAAACATTAAAGTTCGTTTGCTAACACTATTTTGTGTTTTAATAGTAGAGTTAACCATCAAAGTTTTTATTCTACAGTTAAGTGTAGTGGTTTTAATGATTCAATGAATCCTTTTCTGTTACACTATGTACGTTCAAGTCAAACATTCACAAACATCCGAAATTTTTTTTTTAATTTTTATAGAAATAACGAAAAGAGCTGTAATTGAAAAACTATTAAAAATTAATTATTCAAGTGCTACCTTCGATTTAATAATTATATTGCAACGCCCCTTAAGGATTGGAGAATAAAAAAAAATTAAAATTGTTACTGATTTGGCAACACTTGATAATTTAAAATACGATAAACTATTATAATAATTGTAGATATTTTGAGATATATCTATTTGCATGATTATCATTAGCAGGAGGTGGAACCGGATCTGGCGGTGGTGGTACAGGTGATAGCGGGGGTGATAGAACGAGTTATGGAAGTGGTGGTGTTGGTGGACGCCCACAACCACGTGCAAGACGAACCCAACGTCGAGTCACACATTCTGAAAAACGTTATCACTCAGGTAGTTTTGCTGACCGCTTTTATCCAGTAATATTTTTCATGTTTCCGGCTTTACTGTGCCACTTAATTATCGCCGTAAAATCCCAACACTTCGTCAATTAAAATAATCTTTGCATCATTTCCTCTGGTTTTGGATTTCCACTCGCTTAATTCATTTTTATTTTTATTCATTATTTATCACTAGTTTATTGCTCATGTCATGTCTTTTTTGTTGTTTTGCATGGTTTTGACTTTTTGTATTATAATTAATATCTGTGTACACGCCTTTTGTCTTTTGTAAACATTGGATATGTTCTTTATACGAAAAATATATAGAATTTTTCTATAATAAAAAAAAAAATAAATAAATAAAAAATTACATTTGAAAATGAAAAAATCTTGTAGGGCCTTGAGAAGAAACAAATATTAGTTCATATATTCGTAGATAATATAAAAGAGAAAGTAACTTACATTAGCTGTCGTATTATCTATGTATTGTTGACGTTGATATTGCATGTAGGAGGCCGGCTAGTACCTGGGGGCATTGCCAATCCTCCGGGATCTGGCAGCTCAGTAGGGAACACTGGAGCTAGCACAAATTCAGCTGCCGCTGTGAGACGCGGAAATCGCAGGCTCACGCGAAATGAGAGCCGATATCACTCTGGTGAGTATTTTTTATGCGAAGAAGTATTAAAGAAGAATATCATTAGTAAAAACTTGGATCAATATTTATATTCTTGATTATACTTTTAAAAAACTTTTCATGCTATAACCTTTCTTCACTTAGATTAACCTATACCTAGACTTTTCAAAACTAATTAGTCGTCTTTACTGTTTTTTATACTTCACGGTAAGTAGATCTATAAATTTCGATGAAAAAAAATTATAAGTATATTGATGTTATTTTTTTCTAAATTACTATTCGTCTTTTAACTGATTTATGACAAATATTAGTCAAAACTCTACAAACAATTATGTATTTTCCAAACCAAAATAGTGACTCAGTCTATTTCTTTTTTAAATGGTTTAAGGAGTGGTGAGGTTCGTTTTTTTTTTTCTTAAAAAATTCTCACGTTTTTATTCAATGTGGAAAAAAACGATTCTTTTTTATTTAATCAATCGTTTAGTTTCTTACAAACATTGAATTTGTTCTCTTTCATATGAAATTCATGACTGAATTGAAGTTAGTCTTACAGTCTCGAAATACATTCAATTATCGAAAAAATTTCATCCCTGATTTTTTATAAGTTGAAATTAAAGCGTGCGCGATTTGAATTTCTACTAAAATTATAAAATTCATTGCGTTAATTTAAAATTTTGATTACAGAAAATATTTTGAGAATCTCTATTGTTTTTATGAGGAATCATCAAATGAAATATTCTTAAAATTAAGTTTCTTTATTTGGCTGCTTGTTCATATTTCACTTTTATGAATAAGTTTTAACATTAAATTTATAATTCATCAAAAATTATATGCTGAAAAAAAAACTATTATTGACCATATTACTGAAATTTATAAGAAATACTTAAATAGTGTTGATAAAATTTTCTGCTTTAAAGAATGTATTTGATTTTAAAATTGTATTTTACTATATTCTTCTTTGATTTAAAAAAAAAAATTAGGACGACGGTTGACCCTACAGGCCATCTCTGCAACTTCCCGCCCATTCTGTACTTAAGCGCCCAAAATCACACATTACGTTTTTGAGCTCTTCGAGCTCAAAACTCTAATAGCAGTTTAATAAAACACAATTTTTTGAATTTTCAAACGGCAATAACTTTTGAATGAATCATCCGATTTTCAAGCGGTTGGCGGTATTCAACGCAATTTTTAAAGTCCCATAAAAAATCTTCAAGTTTAAATCGATCGAGCCAAGAATTTCGAAGTAATTCCAAAAAAACACTTTTTTCGGTATTCTTTCGACAACGATAACTCACGAACGAATCAACCGATTTTGACCGGGTTTGCGGTGATTGACGTGGTTTTTTGATCTTAAGAGCTGATTAGATTTTGGAATTGATCGGTCGAGCCGTTTCAAAGTTATTAAAAAAAAACCACATTTGAAAAAATTTTTTTTCGCAGTTTTTTTAAGATTTCTTAAAATCTATCAGTCCGAATCCAACTTGTATTTAAAAATCTAAGTTTAGTCAAACCCTTTCGAATGGCACCAACCGCGATCAAATCGGTCAAGCCGTTCAAAAGTTATAAGAGGGTCACATATGTGTATACACACACACACACACACACACACACACACACACACACACACACACACACACACACACACACACACACACACACACACACACACACACACACACACACACACACACACACACACACACACACACACACACACAC